TGCTGCTACTATATGTCAGATGCACGTATTTCTATACGTATCTGATTGACGACTAGACTTAATCGAAAGTTCTCTCTCGTAATCGGGAGGGGTAATTAACTATAGGGGCTTGCGCCTATAGGAAACCAGAACTCAGATCATAAAGTCCTCGCAAAAATGAGGGCGAAATCTCTGGGTAGTGTCTTATCTACAAAACCCATCTGCCTTCCAAAATTTACCCCGGAACTTATCCGTTAAAACTCTCTCGCCGAATGAGAAAAGCGAGTGGAGGCCGAGGCCGAATTTTCGGAGCCCACAAAGGATAGCTATTCTAAATTCACATAAATGCTCATTTATTCCAAGTGGGAGGGGAGTAGATACAACAACAGTTTGACTTTATGTGCTTAAAGTGATCAAGACATAATTGGAGCCATGATCACTAGAACTCTCTACAATTAATAGTATGAACAGATTTCTTATATGCAAGGCCAAATGACTCTTAGGGTTGTTTTAGGTTAATTTATAGAGTTGTAGCTCCTTGTTAAATTTTTTACCTTCTAAAATGACCATCATTTGAAGTTCTTGTCCATAATTGTAAGCCAATCCGCGCACACTTTTGGATACAGATGAATGCCAGAAGTATTTGGTACCACCTTGACTTTTTGGATGATGTTATCATCAAATTTTCACTTCTTGTGTCACGAGGTAGCGTAATAATGATTAAGACCATAAAGACCCTTTTGCTAATAACAGGCATGGGATGAGATGCAAAGCCTCCATATTGACTCATAAGTCATTTGGCCTCTCGGGTGTGAAATTGTTAAGCCTAATTTTTGTCTTATAAAAAACCGTGTTACATAATCTTTAGTCATTTGTGAATCTTAATAGTGAAGTTGTGGGGCCCCAATTCACATGGGAGGATTCAATCTTTGTGAATTATTTCATTAAGGATATTTTGAGAAATGATTGTATTTTCCAAATGCCTTATGTTTTTTTCTTTATAAAGTGGGAGATGTCATATTTTTTTTGTATGATTGAATTCGGATTTTAATTCTCAAAATTGACCGTGGTGACAACAAAATGTAGCCATCAAATGGATGAATATGTATAAAATGGTGTTATTTGTGTTAATCTTCTTTTATATATATATATATATATTATGCACTATGTGCTTAAATTATGTTTTGTCCCAGCATCAAGGTAGTCAATATGGAACATACTCTAAATTAGATAGTCATAATAGCTATCAAAATGATTAGCTTGATTTTTTCGGGCTTAGGAAGGAGAAAATGGTTTAGATTTGAAGGGAGAATTTCATAATCATCCTCCTTTGGAGTAGCCTGATGCTTATTTGGTTCAGATTGAGGTCTAGAAAGTTTTTCCTCAAAGGTACGTTATGTAGTGTCCAACTCGTAATAGAGGCTCATACCCTCTAGTTCTTTTTAAGGGAATGAGTGCCATCATGCCTACAATCCATAGAGCGACCTTGATATGGATGCTACTACAAGTTGTCATTTGGAAAGAAACCAAACTAGGGTTGTGGCCAAAGAAAAGTAGACCTTAGATTTGAGTCACAATAATAACAACTCAGCAATATATACCTATGGGTGTAAGCTTGACATGTTTAAGTGCCTGTGGTTAGGTCAAAACAAGCAAAAGGTCTTGTGCTCAAAACAAGCATGCAGGAATTGTAATTTCAGCAAGGTGTATTCATGATTATGCCTTTAAAATGATGCAAGTGCATTGAAATTAATCAAAACAAGATGGATAAGGAGCCTAATAAAGCAGTAATATATAAAAAACCATTTGATTTTGATAAGCAAATGTTAAGAACAAGCAACCTATGTCTGAGTTTATAATGTAGGAAATACAAATGCAAAAAATAAACTAAAACAAACTAAATATTTTTGCAGCAACAAAACAAGGATGATTTTCTTTGATACTAATGTGATGCAGGATTAAACGAAAAGGTTTGTGATGAAGTTTTGAAATGCAAATATTCAATGTTCCTTTTAATTCAAACCAACGTTATAACTAGTTACTAGTTGGAGATTCACGTAGAGATGTAAACTTAAAGTTATAGCATTCTTATGTTTTGTGAAATAGAAGGTGACAAGCTGAGGGAGGAAATAAAATAGAGTGAATGATAATACTAGAGTAGCTTTATTGTGGAGACCTAACCACCAAAGGTGCATAATAATGATATTGAAGATAAGCTCTATGTGTAGTACTTGGCTGTGAATGCTATCACCCTTCGATGTCATTACTTACACTCTCAAGTATTCCTCACTTGAAGGTGCAAGGGAACAAGAGAATTTCCGCACTTAAATTTCATTCATTCCACAAGTATTCAAGATATTACACGAGTATTTATCACAAGAGAGAAATGACCAAGAGGAAGTAGCCGACCAAGGGTCTTGGAAAGGAAAAATAGAGTAATTATGGTGGGGAAGTTGAATAGCTGCATATAGATTCCAAAATGGCACTCAACTTTATGCTTTTCAAGGGAAAGTGGGTATCTAACAGCTTTTATGAGGGGAGTGAAGAGGGAGAGACTATTGGTTAGCTTAAAGGAGGGATTAAGTTGGTTTAGCTCTTATATTAAATGTTGATACATATAAAGTTCTCACCAGGAGAATATTACGCAAAGTAAAAATACATGATAAATACTCTTAAAAAAAATTCCAATGACTAATGGTGATGATGCCAGTAATACATTACATCAGTTTTGATAAGCATTTTGCTACTAATACACAAACATGCTTCTATACATACATGCATGGATATCCACATCTCGATGCAACAAAGAGATTTGTGGAAATATTTATCAATATCGGTCGGCACCTGCAGACACACATTGATAATATATATTCATAAGTGCATATCACGAGATAATGATTAAATGATGTGGAGCTATTTTCTAGCAACGAGTTTGGTGTTTTTTGCATATGTTATTGTGGTTCTTCTACATCAATTATTCATAGCTATTCAATGGGTTTTTGCTGTGGAAGGTTCTACTAATCACGTAGTCCCCTCAATTCAACAAGTGAGCTTTCTTTTATGGGTCTTTAGTTGTAGGTTAGGTTTTTTTTTTTTTGGAAACCCATGGAGGGGTCTATGCGTTGATTAAAAGAAAGGTTACAAGATCCTTAAAAGGGACCTCGAGCTCACTACTGCTCGAACGAGCTACAAAAAAAGCAAAAAAGAATCCTAAGAGCTCAAAGTCCCTACTAAAAATAAGTACAAAACAACCTAGATACATCATAGGGTGGCAAGCAGCCATCACTTAAAAAATAGAAAAGATCAACAATTAGCATTAGCCGCCATTTTTCTGTCAAAAAATCAGCATCCCAAAGACCTGCACTAAAGAAATCCTGCAAGAAAACCAACATAGAAAGAGAAGACAAGCACAAGAGATAGGACGTTTTATAGAAAGCAGTAATATCTAAAAGGTTAGTTTAAAAGAAAACAGTGATGTACCTGCCCCTGCACCTGGAAGCAGCAAATACGCCAAGAAACAGAAATGTAGGAACATCTATGTTTACCAAGATCATAAAATTCCAAGAAAAAGAATACCGCATACATGCTATAATTAAACATCTCCAAGCATGGCCTGGTGCCAAGCCTCAAGCAATAATAGGAGCAACATACCCCTAAGCAGTTACAAGGAAAAAGCAAATTGAACAACCAAATAAAGAGATGGTTGAAATTAACAATATAATAAAAAACATTATAGATCCTACTAGTGTTGAAAGAGCTTCTCAAATTCTGCATCTAAATCATCCAGATTACCAATAAAGAAAAGGACAATAACATGCCAGCTAAACAAACAAAATAACATATCCCAATCCAAATTAAGAAGTAAAAAACTCCTACAGATAATAGCACCATAGAGCAAGACGAACATGGGGTAAAGGCAGTCCAAATAACCACCAAAATAGAAATGGAGATCATAGATGCTGCAGCAAACTAGAATTGAATTAGCCCTGTCCAGCAGATTAAGGCTTATGGATAACAAGCCTAGAAGAAAGCCACGACCACAACCACCATTGATACAATCAATATCAAAATGATGCAGCCAAAAAACTCATAGGAGCTACAATAGAAAGTGAATGTGTTCATAAAATTTGACCATGGGACTGCAAGAAATTCCAAATACAGCAACCAACCAGAAGCCCAAATATAAGACCAGCAGAACTGATGACAGCCTCACAAATATAGCTGCACTCAATCAGCTCCACCTCAAGAAAATCAACAGCAAACAGGGGAAAGAATGCAAGAGCAAGATAAATTATTTTGAAAGAAGTAGAATAGATGCATAATTTTTGCCCTATGTTTGCAATTAGGTGTTAATTGTTAGTAGTAGGATATGATGAGATTCCCATTAAATATAAGGTTTCAGGGGTTTAATCATGGAGAGGGAATCCTTCTTTATTATTATTATTATTATTAAAGAAGGGTCTTAGGCTTGTACAAAAAAAGTATTTTTTTTTTGTTTTGAATAAAATTTTAGTTGGATGTGCTACTCTTTTATTTTCCTAGAGTCAACTCCTTGATCAAGTGAGGGACTTGGAGATTTTAATAAGATTTCATCTCCTTATACAATTTTGAGGCTTGATTGTTTGGATTGTAGTGGCGTATTTCTTTCTGTTTTATTTATTTACATTTCTTTGTAAAAACATATATATATATATATATATATATATATATATGACTTTTGTTTCACTGCAATGAGTCTCCACTTCTCATTTTGTTGAAAAAATATTGGAATGTTCAGATCTGGACATCTTTTGTATTCATGGGTATTATAATAGAATGCTCAAAATAAAATCATATTGTATATATCCAACTAGGAAAGATATTATGCACATTTAGTTAGGAATGTTATTTTGGTTCCTTAAAGCTTGGGTTGTACAACTGTAGAGTTTTCTCCTATTTTGTTTAGTTCTCTTTCTAGAACAATCTATATATTGCCATGCATCAAGTATTCAATCGATGAGAAATATTCTTCTCCTTGTTTCCTTATATGACATAAATGTCTTCAAATTTTATTGTTTTGCCTTCTTATTTATTGTGAATATTTTCATTTGTTAATATTTAATGCCACAATGAAGACCTAGCGGGTACAAATGTCTGAAAATTTTGATATAAAATATTTACAAAGTTTTATAATTTGCTTTTAAAATAACTATAAATATCTTCATTTTTCCACAAATTTTTTATCAGAGATGAATTAATCAACTATGATTTGACTTTTAAATGCCATGTGTCACAAATTTAAAGGATTCTGATGGGAATTGTATCCGTACACCCTAACATAATTTTTTTAAAGATTTATATTAGAAATCATAAACCTTTGTCTGACAATAGAAATCATTTAGATCTGAATTGAATTTGATATGCGCAACCTCACACTACAAATAAGTATTTTTAAACTTTTGAATGTGCCCCAATTTTGGTACATTGCATTACCTGCCATACATTAATGTTCTTAATAATAATAATTGTTTAATGGCTCAAGTTTGTCGATGCAGGCAACTCTTCACCGACTGAAGTCAATGACATGGAGCATGGAGTTAAGGAATTCAATACCTGGAAATCGACTTTCTGTCATTACCTTGAAGGCAAGTATTTTGTATCGTCGACCCTTTCTTCTTAAGCTTCTTCTTGTTGAAGAAGCAAACTTCTTCCCCATGCACTGGATCACCTCTCCTGGTAGGACGTAGCTTTATATTGCAATTTGTAGGTTTGTTTCAGATGCTACTTAGTATTCTCTTCTCTTCTGCAATGTAAGGAAGAAAATGTTCACATCCTTTATGGTTTGTTGTTACTTTAGTATTGGCTCTTGATGATGTAGGAGATACACACGTGTATTCTACAACCATGTGCTTGGAGATTTCCATTACATTTCAATGAATGCAAATGATAATAAAGTACTACGCTGGCATGCAATTTTTTTTATGTTTATGTAAAATAAAAAATTATCTAAAATCATAATGTCTTTCTAATATAAATAAAAAAAACCATATAAAATAAATATTATTTAAGTTCATGTGCTATTCCGGTTCAATCTAGACTTGGTTCTGACCGTGATTCTTGAGTTGGGTTGATGTAATGCATCAGCATTTTTTGTAAGCATATTCATAATCAATAAAAAAAAATGGCGTTATTGTTTGATCCTTGATGCAAACTTTTGTGATTTGAAGTTCTTTGGTTTGTCCACCATTATCTTTAATGCAAGCCATTATCATGAATCCTTTTTTGATGAAGCATTCTGATGCGGACATCGGCACGAAGATCTGGCGCATCTATCACAGGAGGCGTCGTAAATCGATGGCTTTAATTTAAATTGTTATTTAAATTAGATTTTATGAATTTTAGCTATTTTTATGTTATTTCCAGTTCTACCCCTAGGTTAGTTTATTTGAGTGTTATTGCCCAAGGGGCATTTTTGTAATTTTCTATTTTTCTCATGATATGGCCTATAAATAAGGGCCTTAAGCTATTTTAAGAGGATGGTTAATTTGATATAAAAAAATTTGTGTTCCATACTTTGTTCTTGAGAGAGAATGAGAGTGAGATTTCTATGAGAGAAATCAAGAGTTTCACCAGCCGCAGGATGGGTCCGGGCTCGTGATGTGAAGTCCCTTGGAGAAGGGCAAACGAATCACCCACCAACCTTGGAGATGGCCGGGTTCGTGGTTTTCTCTTTGTATTTTCGTCTTCATCCACCACCCTCCTCTTTGCATCTTTCGTTATATCTTATATCGTGTTTTGCTTTGTCATCTTTTCGTCCTCCCTCAACTTCACGACCAAATACCCCCCTTTGGATGCCGCCGGCCCAATCTCTTGCCGCCGGCCACTATCCACCACCTCATCCCAATTGAAATCCTTGCCTAATTTGGGGGTTCATATTTTGGGCTGATTTCAAATTCAAAATCATGTATTTTGAAATCCGAAATCTTTTCTAATTTATGAAAGCTATTTTGGAAAGTTTCCAATTTTCATCCTATTTGAATTTCAAATTCAAATGGGACTTAATTAGTTCTTTTCTAAATTCTAAACCCAAATCATTAATTCCCCTATTAATGCATTAATGGCCTCTTAATTTGAAATCAATTTTCAAATTAAATTTCCCCCCAATTTCAATCAAAATTGAAATTAAATTTCATATTTTGAAATTTCCTAAACTCAAATCAAAGAGCTTTAAATCACCTCATTACTCCCACCTCAGTTTTAATTCCTATTCTAATCCCCCAAATCAATTCACTGATTTTGGGGAATTTAAAATCCAGTTAATTCCCTATTTCATGCGAGCAGCCGGGCCCTACATAAGGAATTAGGAATTAATTCCCCAAGGCATTAAATTACTTCTTTCCTCCTTCCTACCAGCCGTGACATCAAAGCTCCAGCCATTAATTGCTTCCCTAGGCTGAGAGTTGGAATAAGGCAATAATTCCCCAATTCCTCCCCACATCCCGTTGTGTTCCCCCTTCACTAGATCTTCCTAAATGCTGTCCCGAAATTCTGGATTGAAAGGAAGCTACCCGGGCTCCCAAACTCAGCAATAGCTCAGCAATAATACTATCCAGACGGGACTTTAGCAGCTGTTTACGCCCTGTAGAGTTGCTGTCCAGAATTCTGAAAGATGCTAAACTGCTGTCCAGCAGTTTTTCTGCAGCTCCACACTAACTGGCCAGCCCCAAAATTCAATCTGTTGCTGTCCAGACTTCTCCTAGTTGCTGTTCCACAGATCAAGCACTTGACATCTCTTGCTAAGAAGGTTTGGAACGTGAAATCGCTGATCTGGAAGAGCCGTCTTTTTCGTTCTACATCAGTTTGGTATCAGAGCATGGACTCGGATCGACTTGGGATGATGCTAGACTGGATAGTAGGTCAAGTGGGCGCCATTAGTCACATCTCAAGGAGACTTAAGCGGACTTAGCCGACTTCCACCGTCAAACAATCAAACGATTCGATCACCTAGAACGAGGCAGGACTAACCCACCGTTCTATGCAAAAACCCCGTCATCAAAAGAGAGAAAGAAGGCACTAAGAGACAGAGAGAGAGTAGAGAGAGTGGATAAATGGATGGAGACCAATAAAGCCTTCCATCTCCCACTCACTATGCAAATCATAGAGAAACCTAAGGTGATCAAGGAAGAACATGAAGAAGAAGATGAATTGGTTGACAAGGAGAAATGCGCAGAGAAAGACTTGGTTGACTTAAAGGTTTCTCCTGACCCAGTGAACACTCCTATAACAGAGAAGGTTGAGGAAGCTCTGGAGGTGATATCCATAGAACTCCATATTGATCCTATCACCAGTGAAGCCATCGAGGAGAGTGAACAAGTTTCTGCAGACGAAAAGAAGTGCGACAGTTTGGAAGGTGATCCCTTGACTCGGGTTAAGGAAATTGGCGAGCTTAAGTGCCCATTGGGTTTATTAACCATTTCAAAGGATGAAACTATGTCTCCAAAGAACCGTCCAAAGTTGTACCTGGGCAGTTGTGATGCTAACTCGACGGAGTCGAGTATTCTCCCACCTGGGGAGAATGATGCGGACATCGGCACGAAGATCTGGCGCATCTATCACAGGAGGCATCGTAAATTGACGGCTTTAATTTAAATTGTTATTTAAATTAGATTTTATGAATTTTAGCTATTTTTTATGTTATTTCCAGTTTAACCCCTAGGTTAGTTTATTTGAGTGTTATTGCCAAAGGGGCATTTTTGTAATTTTCTATTTTTCTCATGATATGGCCTATAAATAAGGGCCTTAAGCTATTGTAAGAGGATGGTTAATTTGATATAAAAAATTTTGTGTTCTATAATTTGTTCTTGAGAGAGAATGAGAGTGAGATTTCTATGAGAGAAATCAAGAGTTTCACCAGCCGCAGGATGGGTCCGGGCTCGTGATGTGAAGTCCCTTGGAGAAGGGAAAACGAATCACCCACCAACCTTGGAGACAACCGGATTCGTGGTTTTCTCTTTGTATTTTCGTCTTCATCCACCACCCTCCTCTTTGCATCTTTCGTTTTATCTTATATCGTGTTTTGCTTTGTCATCTTTTCGTCCTCCCTCAACTTCACGGCCAAACACCCCCCTTTGGATGCCGCCGGCCCAATCTCTAGCCGCCGGCCACTATCCACCACCTCATCCCAATTGAAATCCTTGCCTAATTTGGGTGTTCATATTTTGGGCTGATTTCAAATTCAAAATCATGTATTTTGAAATCCGAAATCTTTCCTAATTTATGAAAGCTATTTTGGAAAGTTTCCAATTTTCATCCTATTTGAATTTCAAATTCAAAAGGGACTTATTTAGTTCTTTTCTAAATTCTACCCAAAATCATTAATTCCCCTATTAATGCATTAATGGCCTCTTAATTTGAAATCAATTTTCAAATTAAATTTCCCCCCAATTTCAATCAAAATTGAAATTAAATTTCAGATTTTGAAATTTCCTAAACTCAAATCAAAGAGCTTTAAATCACCTAATTACTCCCACCTGAGTTTTAATTCCTATTCTAATCCCCCAAATCAATTCACTGATTTTGGGGAATTTAAGATCCAGTTAATTCCCTATTTCATGCAAGCAGTCGGCCCCTACATAAGGAATTAGGAATTAATTCCCCAAGGCATTAAATTACTTCTTTCCTCCTTCCTACCAGCCGTGACATCAAAGCTCCAGCCATTAATTGCTTCCCTAGGCTGAGAGTTGGAATAAGGCAATAATTCCCCAATTCCTCCCCATATCCCGTTGTGTTCCCCCTTCACTGGATCTTCCTTAATGCTGTCCCGAAATTCTGTATTGAAAGGAAGCTACCCGGGCTCCCAAACTCAGCAATAGCTCAGCAATAATACTATCCAGACGGGACTCTAGCAGCTGTTTACGCCCTGTAGAGTTGCTGTTCAGAATTCTGAAAGCTGCTAAACTGCTGTCCAGCAGTTTTTCTTCAGCTCCACACTAACTGGCCAGCCCCAAAATTCAATCCGTTGCTGTCCAGACTTCTCCTAGTTGTTGTTCCACAGATCAAGCACTTGACACCTCTTGCTAAGAAGGTTTGGAACGTGAAATCGCTGATCTGGAAGAGCCGTCTTTTTCGTTCTACATCACATTCACAATCAAAATGGCTCTCTAGATTCTCTTTACGTTTATGCTCTCAGGAGACGTTCGTAGAGAACCAAGAGTGTATTGGCTGGAAACCTAATAGGCAATGTATTCATGTAACTAAACTAATATATTTTTCATTGTTTTATGATGGTAAACTATGTTTGAAACCTAGTTTATGTAGCAATTGTCAAATTATGTGCTAAGTGCTATACATTAACCGAAATTCAATCTGACAACTACTCTTTTGGTAAACCCTCTGAAGGTTTATGTTAACTTTTTTTTTTTTTCCCTAAGTTCATTTATTTTGTATCTCTGTTGCAAAACTTAGCATTCTTTTTTTCTTGTCCACGTTTTTGTCTTGTAGTTGCAAGATTATGCTAAATCCCATCTGGGTGAAGTAGAAGTGAAGTTTCAGCTTTCAAGAGATACTCTGGAAGCCATGTTGAGATCACTGACTTACATAAATGATCAACTATCAGATTCTGTGAGTATTTAAGCTTAACTATGACCTGTATTGTATGAGTATAGGTGATTTTAAACCCGTTTATGCTTTAGATGGAAAGCTACTGCTGAAACATAGATCTTGTACAAAACAATGAGAAAGAGCACTAGATGAATCTTAGATGCATGGTCTTGTAGGCAATTGTTCGAATATCTTAAAAATATGTTGGTGTTAAATTGCCAGAGGTTTACTCTCAACAATTCACTAAGTTTTTTGGTTGAATGGGTTAAATAATTGGTTTATTAGGCTCAACTTTGATCCACCTTTAGTCCCTGCTCTCTAATAAGTTGATAGTTTTACTAGGATCAGGTGATTATGTAGTCGTGGCTCTCTTGTGCCTTTGGTATCTTGTACATTGCTGAACAGGCTTAAGAGTGACTCGTACATTTCTACAATGAAGTTGATTGGGCTTTTGGTGCATGATAAGTATTGATGTCGAAAACTTTTGTTTGAGGAAGAGTCATGGCATCCTTGGTGAAATGTCATGAACCAATTCATGGGTGGACATGCGGTTTTACTCACCAAGTTATTATAAGCAAATTCTATTATTGGTAACCATAGATCTTAATCACCAAGATTCTTTTAACAAGAGATCTAAGAATGTTGCTATTTTTACTAAATCATTTTGATGATCAGTTTGAGGTGAAAAGCTGATGTAAACATTAGATTAGTGCCCAAAAATTTCATAAGATCTTTTAAAAGTAGCTAAGATTCTAACATCCTAGTCAGCAACTACAGAGAGGGGAGCCACTATCTTAAAAGATCAATTTAGTGGCATGTGAAGAATTGGTAGCTTTGAAAAGGAAGGAAATGGACTATCTTCGAGAGTTGTCAGCTATCAACAAGATAGAATCATGATGATGTGTAGTCCTAAGTAATTATAATATGATGTTCATACTTTCGTTATGCCAAGGTATTTAAAATATCTAAGGAACAAACAAAGGATTTAGATTTTTAAAAGTGCAATAGAGTTATGCGCATAAGGAGTAATGTTGTAGGAAGTAATCACTATGTGATCCACATTCAATTGAAAAGGAGGAAGAGATAAAAGCATCATAAACACGGCTAACTGTGTGCTATTCCCATTGACCCATCGTTATCATGTTTGCTGTCATTTGGTTCATCGCTTCAAGTGGCTTATAAAGATGGATACATATTTTTGTCATTACTTTCCTTAACCTAAGTGAAGTTCTTCTTGATTTCTTTTTGTGGTAGTTTGTTTCTCTAATCTTTCCTACTTTTGTTGTCAATCAAGTAAGTATGACCCATGTATATTTGCTCCGTTACTTTATTGCCCTATCGACGTTTTCAGTACATTTTTTTTCCCTTTGTTATTTGTTTTTCCGAGCTTCTCTTATGTGATTTTCTTCTTTGTTTCTTTTTATAGCATTTTACGCTTTTGTTTTCTCTTTTCTCTCTGATAATTATGTGTGCTTCTTCCTCCACCCTCTGGTTCATTTCTCCTCCAGCACACCTCGTCAAACTTTTCATGTGCTCTTTCCCGATGTGCTACATTATTTGTATTAATTATTTATACTAACTTTATTTAAGGTACGCATCAAACCTCTTTGATCTCTTGGAAGTTGAAGTTTAACTTGCTTACTATCTTTCACTGCTTTTTGTTATTAATATTTGATTGAATATGCTATAAATGTTCTTAGAACTTTATTTTCTATATAGATTATTAAGTATTTATATACCTTGTAGTGTTTTCTAAATATTAAAGTTTAGGGTGTTTATTAGTTCTTAGATGTGCACTTTATTTTACTAAAGCAAGCATTTGTCGGAGCTTTTTACTAAAGCAAACATTTGCAGAAAAATCTCTTTGCACTTTGCGTGTCCACAATGCTGAAAGGGGTATACAATCAAACACTTTGCTTCATGGTTTTGCCTAATTGTTATGCCCTACATTGGCCAACAACACTAACAACTTCGCATTTGTGGGAGGGCTAATAAAAAAATGTACTCTAGGTGATTTGTGGGGAATGCATGTCTAACAGTCTAGCTACGCCACTTGTAAGTCTTAAATAAGAAACTTAGGAAGAGATTTGTGGGGAATGCATAATTTAGCAAATATGCGGGGAAACACAAATATCCATATATTTAAAGTGGAAGGGATTGGATGATTCATCCCCTTACTTTCATTGTAGTTAATGTTGAAGTCTTAAGCTTAAGATATCATTCAATTATAGTGGAACAACTTAGACACAACACAGAACTCACCAACTGCAGAATTGCAATTGAAATAATCAATTGAGGGTTAATGTGGGCTCCGAAATTCGCGCCCTAGCCTCTCTGCGCCGTTTTTTTGTTGACGGGGAGAGTTTTAACAGATTTAGATTCCAGGGTAAATTTTCAAAAGGGAGATTAGGTTTTATTAGATAAGAAACTACCTAGAAATTTCGTCCTCATTTTGCGAGGAATTTATGATCTGAATTCTGGTTTTCTATAGGCATAAGCCCCTATAGTTAATTACCCCTCCCGATAACAAGAGAAAACTTTCTATTAAGGCTAGTCATGAGATAGGTACTGATTACCCAGCGTATAGTAACAACTTTAAGGATTTTGAAAATTAGATTTTAGGGATATTTATAATTTGAAATTTATCACCACATACTTAAAACGGGTAATGGGGGGAATGAAGATGAGCCCGATCAAGATCCCATAGTTCTATCATTCCCGATTGTTAGCATCTCTGGTTTGCTTAATCAAAGGAGGTAGTCCACCCAACCTAACAGAATGAACCTTTTCGGCGGCCATTGTTTAAAATTGCGCAATATGAGGCTCGCCTTTATGCAATTCCAGTGAAAAACGCCTCGAGGCTTACGCCTCGAGTTTCTTTTATGAGGCTTGCACCTCAACTTTGTTGAGGCTCGCCTCGCCTCATTGGCGTGAGGCCCGCCTTATATATACACACACACACACACAAATCATAAAGTAAAGCCCCGAACAAATCATACTTCGTGCACCCTCAAGTCGCAGCAATTTCCTCTCAACCTCCAGCCCATCGCCTTCGCCACATCCACCACCGTCATAATCATCGTCAAGGATCACTTGAAAGCTGCACACCACCACCACCTCTAAAAATTTTGGAGTATTAATCTCATCTTTATGTTTATGAAATACATTTATGAAAGAGTAAGATGCCTGAAATAAATGAAGAAGAGGCATATTGGGAGCTATTGGACTCCACATGATGAGACAGGGGAGAAATCAATTTTTTATAATGACGACTCAATTAAATATCCCCTCAGTGATACAATACAGATGCCTACTTTTTAGAAATTAAATTTAGATAATTAGGGAGCTAAGAAAGAAAGAATTTGAAGTTGAACTTAATGTTATATGATACTTTTATGCAGTTTCTATATTTAATAATTTTTTTCTCATGTAATTTGTATTTCAATTATATTTCATGCAATTTATCACTAAACACTTTATGTCTAGTACAATTTTTTGTTTCATATGTTATTGTGTTACTTCATAGTTCAATAGAAAGATAATATGTCATCTTTTTACATATTATTTGTATATTATATAAAAAATTATTCTTAACATTTATTTGCACTCAACGCAATATTTTATTTTGAGGCTTACGCCTCAAAACGCCTTGAGGCTTACGCCTCGTCTCATGAACAAAAAACGCTTCAATACCTAATTGCGCAATTTGAAACATTGTCGGCAGCCATGGGTTTCTTCGTCCAATAATACCTTATAAACTTGGGATGGATGTTTGTCTAAGGAGATACATTTGAGTTCACCTTAACTAACAAAAGGGATTTATGCTTGTCGAGTATATCCTATAATTCATTACTCAAGGACTTGAAACTATCAGAGAACATGCGAGCTTTAGCCGTGATTGTAATATAGCGTTGTTATTTTGTAGAAAAATCACCCAATCAGAGGGCACGTGCCACGTCCCTGTTGGCGTAACATCTAGGGTCCTCAAAGGCCGAAGCACAAGTGAGAGTAGAGAGCCAAGGGGAAGAACCGAAGAACTGACGAAGAGATGGTAGTGTGTGAGTGGAGTCGTTAAGTCTGCGAAATGTGAACTATGAAACCCTAAAAGGAGAGAGGAGAGAGGCTTAATTGTAGAAAAAAATCTTAAAGTTTATTCTCACAAATCACAGTTTTTGTGGAGTCCCCCAGGTTTGCTCCACTCAACTCATTTCACAATCTTTGCTATTCAAGGGACTTAACAAGCTAACGTAACAAGTCCGCTCTAACGCGAATATAAGCTCACTTATTTAACAAATAAAAAAATCATTTCGAGCTTGAGTTCGGCTCGTGAACTGGTTATTGAGTCGAGTTCGTGAGCCGACTTGGCTTATTTGCACCCCTAGGCGTGGGGCTGCATATTTTGGGTTGGAAAGCAATAGCAATAAACTGTAAAACAGCAAATCATTATGGTGACCAGTAGGAAATCAATTCAGAAAACAGTGAGGAAAGTCAAAAACAAGATGCAATCAGTAAAAGGGTATGTTTTTACCTGAACACAATAAATCAAGGACTCTAGATAGATAGATTTAGCATAAAAGCACTCATTGAATCAACAATTCGGAAGCTGGTTCTAATACCATTATTGATGCAGCTCAATGAGAGGAAAGAGAGGAACCGATCTCAACCAAAGTGGAAAGAAGAGCATTGCTGCCTTACAAATTTATAAGGCATTACCTCTAGGACATTTAGGATAGGAGAATAATCTCTAAATAGTGCTCAGGGCATTCAAATATGGGTTTAATGTCAAATAACTTTAATAATTTGATAAAATACTCTACAGGATGTAGTCATCTATAAGCAGAAAATGTAGGCATCTATAACCAGATAATCTTCATCAAGACACAAAAATCGAGTCGGTCTGCAGCAATAATATCCAGGTTGATGTGTAATATGCCATGATAGTCAACTTGCAGATTAATGTTGCTATTCAATATTTCGAATAAAGTTAACTGGCATTCAATGATGTTTATTATTTTTACATAAATTTAGTTATAGAGAACACAATTCTTACGTTTGTCCAGCTTCTACTCCACTCTTGATTCCAACCCATAATTGATGTATTATTGTTATTTTATTATTTTTTCCATGAGGCTTACGCTGGAGTCAAATTAAATTGAACTAGCAGAGTTCTCAAGTTTGAGTACGCACTTGTACATAAGACCATTAAGCTCACTTCTAACAATTGAGTTCCTCCCACCTGCCTCCAACTACATCTTACACCAAAATGAGCCAAGTGCTGGCTTGCCTGAAATCTGATGGTTTTTCTCTTTTTATTAGTATTATTTTGATGTAGATGCATGTCTTCTGTTAGTCTGCTGATTTCATGAACATTTTATTGACTTTTCACTTGGCAGGGAAGGCTCCAATCGGAACCAAACACCAAAAGGCCGCGGCAATAGTTAAATTTCATTCTTATTTAGCAGAACCAACACGGAGTAGGCCGAGGCCATATTTCTATCATAGACATCCATTCTACAATCTACAGTTTCTTAAATCGGAGCACATGTTGAGTTGACTTGATTAAGGCTTCGTTTGGGATAGATTTTTTGTTGCTTTCTAAAATAGTTTTTTAGTATAAAATTTTTTTGAATTAGAAAATTTTATATTAAAAAGTCGTTTTAAGAAGCAGCACTAAAGTTGTCCCCAAACGAAACCTTAATGGCAGAATGGCTTCACAATTCACAGCTTCTAAACCCTGCTTTTTGCCGGCTTAAGATGGGAAAGACAAGTGAAACTGGCATTACACTGACAGCAGGGATCACTATTTTTACTGCAGCAATAGGCATCATATCCCAGTACAGTAATTTGGAAATGACCTGGTGGGCAAACTACTACTGCAATTAATCAATTATTACATATCCTTGAAGCATGTGGACATGTAGGGAAGAATCAGTTTAGAACTAACTCCATTGCTCCATTGTTTTCATTTACTTTGAAAATTTATTCATTTTATCTAACTTTTCTTGTTACCTGACAGTATTTATAACTTAGGCTTCGTTTGGGATGACTTTCTTTCTGCTTTTTAAAGCAACTTTCTATTAAAAAATTAAAATTTTTATACTACAAGCTGCTTTAAGAAGCAATAAGAAAGCCATCCCAAACAAAACCTTAGCTCAAGTCATTTGTTGAACCAAGCCCCCTTTTGATCAGCATACTTGTTATGACGGTTTTTTTTTTTAAACTGAATTTAGTATTTTGATTATTCTGTTGACTCGTGAATAAACCAGTTGGATTTGTTTCTGCTTTTGTCAATGTGAGTTTAAGATCAGCCTGCAGATTCATGATTTCATCTCTTTGATGCAGAAAGCTCGCTTGAGGAGAATTGTATATTGTAATGTTATACATAGCTGATCAAGTTGCTGCTATCAAGGGATTCAGGTACACTCCTTTTGGTTTGCGAGAACTGAAGGATTGGTAAAATGGGGTTTAGTCTATGCTTATTTATTTTTTTATTATCACAAAGTATAACCCTAGATAATCAAAAATAAAAAGATAAATTGGAATAGGGTGTTAAAAATGGGTTAATGGGTCGGGTTCAGGTCCAACCTAAAATTGACATGATTTGTACCATCTTACTTGAACCCGTCCCATTTAATTAGCTAGTTGAAAACTTGGACCATAACCCGACCTGTCAATAATACAGTTGATGAGGATGGAGAAGGAAAAACGAGCATTGAGCAAGGCAGCAACGAAAAAAAATGAAAAACCTAGAACAGGAGCGTGTGAGACAATGAGAGTGAGGGATGAGATGCAATTGCAATATTGTACATTGCAAATATTTTAACCATTAGTTGTGATGGATTTGCAATTTTGCAATTTGTCGAGTCAAAAATAGATTGGAACATTGAACCCTAATCTGACCTACCTATTAAACGGGGCAACTCATCCTAAATCTTTTAGGTCATATCTTGGCATTAGTAAATTGGAAATTCCCTCTTATGTGTGTACTGTTATCATCCCCTTCAACTTTGAACTCTTTTTTTGTTGGTTATATTTTTGAAACCTAGCTTTGGTTATATGTTAATTTCTCCTTTTTAGAAATTGCTCAGTATGTATGTGCATCTTCTCTATAGTTTTATGAGCTTATAAAGTGATTTGCATAGCAATTCATAAATTCTTGTGAGATTATAATAATTTTATTTCATGCAATACTTAAAAATAATGCTTGTTGCACAGTTGTATGATATGGATTCACATATTTTTACCTTCAAATTTATTATACATTTCACACTTTTCATATGCATATTTATATGTGCGTACGCATGCAAGACAGGCAAGCGATTCAGGCTTCGTTTGGGACAGCCAGATCAGCAGGCATCATAGAAGAAGCATTAGAAGGATCCAACTTAGTATAATCATTGTTCACCACCCCCAAATTAATATCATGAAGTACATTATCACCCACACCCATCAACTTATAGCCAGAAACACCTTGAGCCACATTAAGTCATTCGAAGAAGGGTCAACAGCCATAGCACCAACAACAACAACAACAACAACAACATCAAGCCTTTATCCCACTACGTGGGGTCGGCTACATGAATCCTTTTTCTCCATTGTGTCCTATTAAAAGCCAAATTCTCGTTTAAATCTAATAAAGAAAGGTCATTCCTAATATTTTCTAACCAAGTCTTTTTAGGTCTACCCCTACCTTTCTTAACACAAGTCAAATCTAATACCTCTACTCTCTTAACTGGGTCGTCGGAAGGCCGCCTTTTTATGTGACCAAACCATCTAAGGCGACTCTCTCTAATCTTATCTTGGATCTATTGTTCAGAGTGATGGTGAAATAGATGGGGACCAAACCATCTAAGCCATAGCACCATGAGACACAATATATTCATGTGAAGAAGCCTCAATAACAACTGTCCTGACCATGATGGGGACCAACAAATCATTACCAGCAAAAGGGAATTCACTGCCAATTTCAACCTGAGCTTAGGGGTGTCAATTTCGGGTCACGGGTCGGGTTCGGGTTGAACTCGAAATTGACCCGGTACTATTCGGGTCAACCCGAACCCGACCCGTTTCTGTAAACGGGCCGGTTTTTCAGACTCGAACCCGACCTGCTTCGGGTCCGGGTCAACCCGACCCGGCTCGAATGACCAAACAAAAAATTGTTAGTTTTCGGGTCCAAAAAAGGGTCAAACTCCTTTTTTTGGGTCAAGAACGGGTAAAAAAACGGGTCAATCTCGGGTTCCCGGGTCAAAAACTCGGGTAAAAAATGGGTTAATTATTGAACCCGAACCCAACCCGTTTCGGGTTCGGGCCAACCCAAACCCGAAATTTTCGGGTCGGGTCCAATGTTGACACCCCTACCTGAGCTAGAGAAGGAGCAAAATCTCCCATCTACTAGGGTAACACACCCAGACCACCATCTAACAGATCATCCCCCGCTATCGGCATCGAATTAGAGGCCACATGATCCAAGGAAACCAAAACGACAACCTCGGACGAATGACCGGCCTCAACATCAACCAAAGGATTAAGTATTATTTCATTACCACACTGACCCATCACACCAACATCCACATTATCTCTCAAGAATAAGGCAACACAACCATTATCTTGGACATGATTAGGCTCATCATAGGAGGGAAAAACATTTAAATTAGCAACCAACTCACTACCAGCATTGTTAACAATTTCCCTAGACAAAGCAGGGTACTTAACAATAGGTGGATGCAAACGAGCACATTCTTTTTTGGCATGAGCAAGAGATTTATAATGATGGGAGCTCATCCATCACAACACTTTCAATATAACCTTAATTTTTTCGGGCCTATCCAAACCTTATCAGGATAACTTTTCATTATATCTAGTTCCACCATCACTTTAGCAACTGACGAACGAGATCCAGTTGCGGTGGCATCATCAACACGTAGGGGACGACCAAAATAGTACTCAACCCATGAAGAATATGAGGTGCAAACAACTGAGGGCGAAGATTCGGGAATGAAATCAATACTGGCACAATTGGGGATTCTTCCGCAATGTCCACAAAAGGAGACCACTTAGTTAACTTCATGAAATAGTTACTCTCAAAATAAGAACAATGGGAAAAATACACATCAATAATCCAAATTACGTTTCAATTTGATCAAGACATGACTAGTCATCCTCTGAGATTCACAGAGCAGTAAGCCCTAGGAAGGATGAGGTTTTGATTTCTGAAAAAGAGATCGAAGGAGAAGCTCCTGTAAGGGCATCAACAGAAGACTGAGAGTTGGTTTTCCCATTCAGGAAGCCAGGGTCTGCCAACCATGCTTGATAGATCGCCATTGCGGAAGCAAGGAGGGACGATCAAGACAATAGGAGAACAATGCATAAGGAACAGGAAAATAGGGCAACAAAAGTAAGGAAGAAGGGATACATTCCTGAGCGGAGGAAGCCACTCCCCCCGCCGAGGGAAAACGCATGAGCAAAACCCTAGGATTAAGGCTGCGCTGGGTGATCGCAAGAGAATCACTGGAGTCGATGCAGGGAAAGGAGGCCGATGGTCCTATTTAGGGCATGCGAAATGTACCTTTTTGCTGTTGAGAGTTGAAGCTATCGACGGTGAGTTTTTTTTATTTATATTAAATTTGTTGATAAGAATCATTTAGGAAATTTTATTTATATGATTTATAATGCTAGAAATAAAAAAAATTACTTTCATTTACTATGTTTGAAAAACATTTACTTTCATTTAGACTTCATTTGTGACGACTTTTCTACTGCTTATTATAGCAATTTTTTAATATAAAAAGTTTAATTTTTGTACTAGAAAGTTTCTTTAAGTAATAAGAAAGTCAGCCCAAATGAACCCCAAGTTTCTTTCCCAAGGTTTCTTCTCTTTTGTATTTATGAGCTTAGTCATGAGAAAAAATAGTTTTAATTGGTTCAAATTTGAATGACTCAAATTATATATATATATATATAATTATCGCTGTTTATAATAATACCTTATAAATTTTAAAGAGCATATAAAAATTTTCAACAATTATATTTTATTTTTATTAAATTCTTAATAAATTGATTGTAATAAATGCAAATGCATTTGTTTTCTAATTAATTATTTCAATATAAGATGTGTAAATTAGAATGATTTAGAAACTTTGACTTTATTATCTTGTAATGCCCATAATTGAATAAATGTCTGTTGTTTCTTTTTTTGTTTTGGGTGAATACATTTGAAAGTTTATTTCAGATTATTATTATTATTATTTAATTTGTGATCTACTTATTGAAGCTAATCGACAGAGCTAGTGGTGTGTGAGGGAAAATGATTTCACAATGGGAGCTCGCTTGGGAAGGAAATGAGTCAATGATAGGACTAACAACATGAAGGGCTCATTGTGGACGATATCACATGACATTGTTTGTGAAGAAAGTTTTGGACTATATATATATATTTCTCTAATTTTGAATATTGTAGTGCATGTAAAGTCAAATTTCTCAAAGATTTGATATGACTACTATGTTATCTAATTTAATATACATTAAATGAAGTTGAAAAATAAAATAGATGTAATATTTACGGGAGAAATACAACTTAACTTTATTATTATTATTATTATTATTTTTCTTATCTTGAGAAATTAATCTCTGGTAAACAAAACTTAACTTTATGTGCCTAGATTTAGAAATAGCTAAAGCTTCGTTTGGAATAGCTTTTTTGCTGCTTTCTAAAACAACTTTTTTATTACAAAAAATTCTTGAACTAGAAATTTTTGTACTAGAAAGTTGTTTTTTAAAGCATAAAAAAAGATGTCTCAAACGAAGTCTCTGAGTGTACAAATTAGCTATAAATAACCCTATAGAGGACGAAAAACTATAAAAAAACTAATACACCTAATCAATTATAATATATTATGTGTTGAATGCAATATTTTAAGTTGATTCTCATTAGGAAACCCAATTGAACTCGAATTGACGCAAATTGAGTTCGATTTTGACTCAATTTCAATCCTATTGATCGAATCCAAGCTCATTTGACTTACCTAAATCAGGAAATCAAAGGGATGTCCTCGATTTCGACTATATGTGCGCGTTGCTTCTTATCAAATCTGGTAGGCAATTGAGTGAGATATAGATCTTCCGAATATATGAAATCATGCGACATATCCTATCATTTTATGCATAGAGAAAGATGAGAGCACATGAGGTAGAGAAATTATTACGTGCAGATTCTGGGCGTAGCATTGCATCCAGATTTCAATTAAATCGTGACACGTGGATTGAACACATGGATATTCAATATGGATTTTTATTTTTATTTTACCAGCTTGACTGACACGACTCAAAGGTTTGTCGTTGAAATTTAAGGTTTAGGGTTGGCACTCCTTTTTGAAATGAAAATACCTGCGAAAGCTCCTCAATATGTAGGATTTTAGCTAAGTAAATATTTGATATCTGCTGAGAAAGAAAAAATGAGGAAAAGCTGAGGAAGATGAAGACTGGTTTGGAGGAGGATGGTGTATTCTTCAAGCAAATGATATGCCCACAGGACACTAAGTGTAAAAGGCTGTATAAAAACATCAAGGAAGAGGAAGACTTTGAGTAGAAAAAAATCACAGCATGAAGGAATGATGCATTTTTCTATACGCTTTGCAGATATGTTAGGGTCCAATGTCGCAGCGTCCCCTGATGGGATTTGACCATAATTGTGCCTTGTAAGCCATTTGTACTCTGCCTCCTCTCTATAGTGTAGTCGTTCTCCCTCTCCCCGAGGAATCCAAATATGATCTTTAATATTAATTTTTATTTCATTCATGACCTTCCATATGATAATATGCCTTAAAAACAAGCACCATCCTTTATAATACACAAAGTAGGCAATAAACATCTTTTTATTTCTTCTTTCATGATATCTTTACCATATTTTACCACAATTAATTAATTTAGAAGACGGTCCTAATTTTGAATGAAATTCCAAGCAAATCGAACCCTTAATAAGTCTTGTCTTTCAACTTCACCTTGTATTCCAGGACCATCTTGATTAGCAGAAGTACATAGAATATTCCAAGAAATATTATGCAATCCATATCTTCCTCGTTCCTTTAGCCATAAGAAGTTTCTATGCAACATGTCATTATCATCTAGAACAATTTTAAGAATCAATGAGAGAATCATAATAATTGAAGGAACATATGAGAAAGCATCTTTAATCAATAATATTCTTCCAGCCCTCTTAGATGATTTTATTTTGGATTTTTCTATGTACTCCTACTAATTGAATATAATTGAATAAAGAATTCATATATTAGATTTTTCATTTTTAGAAGTATTTAAGATTGTAATTTTTCATTTTGTTTATAGGTATAACAATAGAGTGGTTCTCATCAAGCCCTATTAGGTGATTTTATTTGGGATATTTTTGTTGATAGTTTTCTTCCTTCAAATTTTATTGACTTGATTAAGAAAGATTATGAGAAATTGACAATCACATAGTAACTTGTATCTTTCCTTTTTCTGATTAATGCTATTTTGCATATTTTCAAAAAGAAAAGAAAGATTAATTGACCGAATAAAAAAATCGTAAGCAAATTTTAATCCAAGATGACTAAAAACTCTGCGCATTATTATTAAAATAAAAACAATATGACACTCATCCAACAACAACATCAAGGCTGAAAAAGGAGCAACGAAGCCATTAAAATCCACCGCAATCAATTTATCTCTTAAACATAAGCCTTGTTCTTGAGAAATATCTGGCGGAGCTCGGCCGGATCTGTCTCCCTAAGACAGTTCGCCGGCCGGTAATAGCCAGTGACAGGATCGGGAATCCAAGACATCGCCGCCTCATCTGCTGTCGCCGTTCCCGTTTTCTTTACTCCCTTCCTCAACACCGTCGTCTCCTCCATCATAACCCTTCCCGCAGCAGCTGCCACCGACGAAAACCTCTTTCCACTTAAAACAAGCCCATCGGAGAGGGCGGCGAAGAGAACCTTTCCATTGGAGAGAGCGCGAGCCATTAATTGGATAGATAGAGAACAACAGAACTGAGCGAAATTAAAAAGAGAATGAGAAGAAAAGAAGAATGAAAAATTCGTTTCCTCTTCTTCTCCTCTATTCTCTTCACCGTGACCAAAACAAGGCGACGATTTCCTTTAAATAGACCGCTTGATTAAAATAAAATAATAATAAATAAATAAATAAATAAAATATATGACAAATACATGGCAATGAGGAAGTGGTTTCCTGAATAGCAAACAAAGTTTGTGTTGCCGGCCTGAGTGGAGGGTGGGCCCACAAGTGTTTGTCCACTGAGAAATATCTGGCCTACGGTGCCTACGGTGGTTCGTGAAATCTGGACCGTCCACGATTGGTGAATTTTGCGCGTGGTTTTTTATAAATAGTTGTGAAAATAAGAAAAAATATCTCTCGGCATTGGTGATTCGTATTTATGCGCTGACGAAGTTGGACGTGTTGGATTATTCCGATTGGTGGAAGGTAGAAAATTACGAAACGGAAGAGATGCTGCTGACGACAGCTCTCTCTTGCTAACATCCTCGATTCTTGGCCGGAATTCTGGGCGACGGCGTTAATCACCAACTGTGGGCCCGCGCTAACAGAGGCCTCGACGAAATAGGATTTCTTTGGGCTCTAGCGGCGTCTAGAGATTTGGGAGAGATCGATCCTCCTCTCGAATTGAGGATCAATTGTATCTTTGCTATTTCCTTGCAACTACTAGTAAAATACAAGTCTTTTCTCGGATTTTTCTGCAGTTTTTCCCTGCTTTCCTACTGTTTTTGGCTGTTTTTCTGCTGTGGACAGCAATTTTACATTGGATCTACTTGGTTTTGGTGAGTTTCCTATCAGAGAGCCACTATCTTATAGGAACTTTTTAGTGGCATGCGAAAAGTAGCTTTGAAAAGGGATGAAGTGGACTATCTTCGAGATTTTGTCAGCTATCATCTAGATAGAATCATGATGATGTGTAGTCCTAAGTAATTCTAATATGATGTTCATTCTTTGGTTATGCTAAGGTATTTAAAATATCTATGGAACAAACAAAGGGTTAGATTGTTAAAAGTGCAATAGAGTATGCGCATAAGGAGAATGTTTGTAGGAAGTAGTCACTCTGTGATCCACATTCAATTGAAAAGGAGGAAGAGATAAAAGCATCATAAACACGGCTAACTGTGTGCTTTTCCCATTGACCCAGCGTTATTTGCTGTAATTTGGTTCGTCGCTTCAAGTGGCTTATAAAGATGGATACATATTTTTGTCATTACTTTCCTTAACCTAAGTGAAGTTCTTCTTGATTTCTTTTTTGTGGTAGTTTGTTTCTCTAATCTTTCCTACTTTTGTTGTCAATCAAGTAAGTATGCTTTTTTTTTCTTACGAATGTATATTTTCTCCGTCACTTTATTGCCTTATCGATGTTTCCAATATGTTCTTTTTTCTTTTGTTATTTGTTTTGCTGAGCTTCTCTTATGTGGTTTTCTTCTTTGTTTCTTTTTATAGCACTTAGCGTCTTTTATTTTCTCGTCTCTCTGATAATTAAGTGTGCTTCTTTCTCCACCCTCTTTGGTTCATTTCTCTTCCAGCACACCTCGTCAAACTTTTCATGTGCTCTTTCCTGTTGTGCTACATTATTTGTATTAATTATTTATACTAACTTTATTTAAGGTATGCATCAAACCTCTTTTATCTCTTGGGAGTTGAAGTTTAACTTGCTTACTATCTTTCACTGCTTTTTGTTATTAATATTTGATTGAATATGCTATAAATCTTCTTAGAACTTTATTTTCTATATAGATTATTAAGTATTTATATGCCTTGTAGTGATTTCTGAATATTAAAGTTTAGGGTGTTTATTAGTTCTTGGATGTGCACTTCATTTTACTAAAGCAAGCATTTGTCGGAGCTTTTTACTAAAGCAAACATTTGCAGAAAAATCTCTTTGCAGTTTGCGTGTCCACAATGCTGAAAGGGGTATACAATCAAACACTTCATGGTCTTGCCTAATTGTTATGCCCTACATTGGCCAACAACACTAACAACTTCGCATTTGTGGGAGGGCTAATAAAAATGTACTCTAGGTGATTTGTGGGGAATGCATGTCTAACAGTCTAGCTACGCCACTTGTAAGTCTTAAATAAGAAACTTAGGAAGAGATTTGTGGGGAATGCATAATTTAGCAGATATGCTTTTACCTGAACACAATAAATCAAGGACTCTAGATAGATAGATTTAGCATAAAAGCAATCATTGAATCAACAATTCGGAAGCTGGTTCTAATACCATTATTGATGCAGCTCAATGAGGGGAGGGAGAGGAACCGATCTCAATCAAAGGAGGAAAGAAGAACATGCTGCCTTACACATTCATAAGGCATTAGCTCGACGACATTTACGATGGGAGTAGAATCTCTAAATAGTCCTCAGGGCATTCAAATATGGCTTTAATGTCAAATAACTTTCATAATATGATAAAATACTCTACAGGATGTAGTCATCTATAAGCAGAAAATGTAGGCATCTATAACCAGATAATCTTCATCAAGACACAAAAATCGAGTTGGCCTGCCGCTATAAATCCAGGTAGATGTGTAATATGCCATGATAGGCAATTTGCAGTTTAGTGTTGCTACTCTATATTTCAAATCAAATTAAAAGGCATTCAATGATGTTTATTATTTTTACAGAAATTTAGCTCTAGAGAACACAATTCTTACGTTTGTCTAGCTTCTACTCTACTCTTGATTCCAACCCATAACTGATGTATTATTGTTATTTTATTATTTTTTCCATAAGGCTTACGCTGGGTTCAAATTAAATTGAACTAGCAGAGTTCTCAAGTTTGAGCACGCACTTGTACATAATAAAACCATTAAGCTCACTTCTAACAGTTGAGTTACTCCCAACTACGTCTTACAACAAAATGAGTGAAGTGCTGGCTTGCCTGAAATCTGATGGTTTTTCTCTTTTTATTAGTATTATTTTGATGAAGATGCACGTCCTCTGTTGGTCTGTTGATTTCATGAACATTTTTTTTTACTTTTCACTTGGCAGGGGAGGCTCCAATCGGAACCAAACACCAAAAGGCCGCGGCAATAGTTAAATTTAATGCTTATTTAGCAGAACCAACACGGAGAAGGCGGAGGCCATATTTCTATCCTAGAATTCCATTCTACAGTTTCTTAAATTGGAGCACATATTGAGGCTTAGTTTGGGACGGCTTTCTTCCTGCTTCATGAAGTAACTTTTTAGTACAAAAATTAAAATTTTTTAATTAAAAAGCTACTTTAAGAAACAGAAAAAACTGTCACAAATGAAGCCTGAGTTGATTTGATTAAATGGCAGAATGGCTTCACAATTCACAGCTTCTAAGCCCTGCTTTTTGCCGGTTTCCAAGATAGGGAAGACAAGTGAAACTGGCATTGCCCTGACAGCAGGGATCACTATTTTTACTGCAGCAATAGGCATCTTATCCCAATACGGTAATTTGGAAAAGACCTGGTGACCATACTGCTACTGCAATTATTACATATCCTTGAAGCATGTAGAGATGTAGGGAAGAATCAGTTTAGAACTAACTCCATTTCTTCTTTGTTTTCTCTTACATTGAAAATTTATTCATTTTATCAAACTTTTTCTTGTTACCGGACAGCATTTATAACTTAGCTCAAGTCATTTGCTGAACGAAGTCCCCTTTTGATCAGCATACTTGCTATGATGGGTTTTTTTTAAAAAACTGAATTTAATATTTTGAACAGTTGGATTTGTTTCTGTTCAGCCTGCAGAATTATGATTTCATCTCTTTGATGCAGAAAGGTCGCTTGAGGAGAATTGTATATTGTAATGTTATACATAGTTGATCAAGTTGCTGCTATCAAGGGATTCAAGTACACTCCTTTTGGTTTGCGAGAACTGAAGGATTGGTAAAATGGGTTTATTTTATGCTTATTTATTTTTTATTAGCACAAAGTAAAACCCTTGATAATCAAAAATAAAAAGATAAATTGGAATAGGGTGTTAAAAATGGGTTAATGGGTTGGGTTTATGATGGGAACATCATATCATGGAAGGTTTATCAGAGGCGTGACCGTCAATCTACGGCCACGATCGAGTCATTGTACTTTTGATTCATGTCATGTTTATTTATGTGTCATTGTATTTGTTTTATTTTATTTCCCGTTGTACCCTTTTAGTAAAGGGATGTCGTATGTAAGCCCCGAGGGCATGTTCGTCTTTTATTTTAGTATCTTGTACTAGGCTATTTATAGCCCCTTGCTTATTATTTTTTGGTTAATAAATGATTATTTGATAATTTTGTCTTCTTGCTTGGGAGTTCTTGAGAGAGCTTGAGAGATCGGAGAGAGACCCCTTAGAGATGGAGATTGGCGCATCACCCACCAATCTTGGAGACAGCAGGGTTCGTGGTTTCATATCTTTTATTTACCTTACCCTATCTCCCACCTTTCTTCACGATATTACTTCTCCTTAGTTGTTTCCTTCCACCCACTAAAACACCGTCTACATCTTCACCTTGTCGCCGGCCCCTTACCCGCCCCATTCAACCGCCGGCCTAGACCTCTCCCATCCCATTACCTACTTTGGATAATTCCTAATTTTGGATTGCAATAATTTAGTTAGTCTTTGAATTTAAATTTTCTCAATTTTGAAATTCAAATTCTTTCATAAATTATAAAATCTATTTTAGAAAAGTTTTCAAAATTTCCCTCCATCGAATTTTGAATTAATTAGGATGACTTAATTAATTCTAAATCCAATCTCCAAAATTAAGGAAACATTAAAGTCTCCTTAATTCCCTCCCTCTCTCACCCCTAGGTGCCGGCCATGCTTGGCTAAACCGTCGGCCCCACTCCACTTGCCTCCCTTTGGATCTCTTAATTTAGTTCAAATTAATTTGGAATCCAAATTAATTAAATTCAAGATTCAAATCCTTTCCTATTTGTCTTAATCTATTTTAGGAAAGTTTCCTAATATAATTCAGTTTGATTTTCAAATTAAATTGAATCTAATCAAACCTTTCCTAATTCCTAAACCTAAACTTGGCAACTCCATTTACTTCCCCCAAATCCCTCCTCATAGTCGTCGGCCCCTATCTCCCTACCCGCCCCCTATCTCTCCAATCTCCTCCCTCTCTCGTTAACTCTCCACCGGAATTTAGGATTTGAGAGTTTCTCTCCTAAATCCCTCTCCTCTCCTTCCAAAAATTTGAAACTTATTTCATATTCCCCCCGGCTCGTCCCTCGTTCACGTTGCAAGAGGAATTTCTTTCTCTTCTAAATACTCAAGTGTATGATCAAGTCGTGAGGAGATTTGTCACCTAGCATTTATGGATGGCGGATCCGGAGATTGAATGCGGCCTAACCTATGACGATGATGATTTCGTAGACATTTTCCAGTCGACTTTCTTTGACGTTAATATAAGGATCGATCGCACCGTCGAAGACTACATAGAGCGTATTCTGGACACGTTGGTAGAAGCAATCGAAGAGCAGTTTGAAGGCGTTGAGTGGAGGATCTCCACCGCTCCTTTACAAAAGGTTCTCCTTTCGCCTTTCAACCTATTTCGTGAGTCTAACTTTATCTTGTGTTTGATTGTAGTCATGAATGACGATTCCTCCTGCTTCTGCTAAGCTTAGTAAACGTAGGGTTTGAGTGTATTCATTTGTTTACTAATCTCACTGTTAGACTAGAGATTTTTATTGGAGCTACTATTTTGGCATAATGTTGTTTTCTATTTCATTTTGAAAGTTTCAAATATCTGGTTATGTGATTAAGCCTAAGCGGACGTGACCATTTTATTTCGTTGTTTAAGCTGCTAATAGTTTCTTCACTTTTATTCTAATCAAGAGTTGTGCAAATTCTTAAGAAATTAATTGCATTCATACGTAGTCCTGCATCAGTTTAGGTCCAGCCTAAAATTGACTTGATTTGAACCCATCTTACTTGAACCATCCCGTTTGATTAGGTGGTTGAAAACTTGGACCCTAACTCGAGCTGTCGACAATCCAGTTGACCCGACCCGATACAATAACCTATTTTGATGAGGATGGAGAAGGTAAAACGAGCATTAAGCAAGGCAGCAACGACATAAACCGAAAAACTAGAACAGGAGGAGCGTGCGAGACAATGAGAGTGGGGGATGAGATGCAATTGCAATATTGTACATTGCAAATGTTTTAACCAATTGTGATGGATTTGCAATTTGTCGAGTTAAAAATAGATTGGAATATTGAATATCTCAGTGAACTAACTTATTTCCATATGTTAGTAAGAATAGTCCTTTATGATCACACAATACAACTGCTATACCCTCCACGTTATACTCCAATCTGTCGAATGGGGATTCCAATTTTTGAACAACACATCATGCTAGTTAATATCCTAGTGCTTACAAATTGGAAAAAATTGTGGTTGGATTGATTGAGAAAGAATTTGAGCTGCAATTATTGAAGGTGAAGGAACCTTCTTTCCATGCTTGAAATAATTTCTTACTTTCCAATTTTGATAAACTGAAGAAATATAGATTCTGACAAATCCTGGATTAGAAAAGCAACCTTCTCTATATTATACCAACAAAGAGATAAACTTTGAAATTTTAGTAAATGAATTCTCCATTGTTTAAATATATCAAAAACTTCAATTAACTTGTTGCAATGAACTGCAATATGATGGTGGTCTTCAATTTCCTAATAAGCTCCCAGACAGGTTATGCAATCCTGCAATATTCTATAGTTCAACTAGAAATTTGTAGGAAGAGCATTATTTAAAAGTCTCCATCAAAATAAAACTTCCTTAGGAGTAACCTTTAATTTTCTTAGCCATTTCATATCTATTCCTTTAATGTCAACAACATTTAGAACTCCTTCAGGAATCAGTGAGTGAGTCATAATATATGAAGGAATAGATGAAAAAGCAGCTTTATTCAACAATATTCTTCAAACCATCTTAGGTGATTTTTATTTATGTTTTTCTTTGTACTACTACTAATTGAATAAACTTAAATAAAAGAATTCGTAGATTGGATTTTTCTTTTTTAAAGTTTTTTAAGAATGTAATTTTTATTTATTTATTTATAGAGATAACAATAAAGTTGCTAATTTCTGTTTTAATCAAGCCCTTAGGTGAATTTATTTGGGATGTTTTTGTTGATAGTGTTTTTCCTTCAAATTTTATTGACATGATTAGGAAAGATTATAATAGATTGACTATCACATAATAGCTTGTATCTTTCCTTTTTCTTAATACTATTTTGCATATTTTCAAAAAGAAAAGAAAGATTAATTGACCGAATAAAAAAATCGTAAGCAAATTTTAATCCAAGATGACTAAGAACTCTGCGCATTATTATTAAAATAAAAACAATATGACACCATACAGCAACAACATCAAGGCTGAAAAAGGAGCAACGAAGGCACTAAAATCCACCGCAATCAATTTCTCTCTTAAACATAAGCCTTGTTCTTGAGAAATATCTGGCGGAGCTCGGCCGGATCTGTCTCCCTGTGACAGTTCGCCGGCCGGTAATAGCCAGTCACAGGATCGGGAATCCAAGACATCGCCGCCTCATCTGCTGTCGCCGTTCCCGTTTTCATTACTCCCTTCCTCAACACCGTCGTCTCCTCCATCATAACCCTTCCCGCAGCCGCAGCCGCTGCCGCCGACGAAAACCTCCTTCCACTTAAAACAAGCCCATCGGAGAGGGCGGCGAAGAGAACCTTTCCATTGGAGAGAGCGCGAGCCATTCGATAGATAGAGAACAACAGAAAGAAGTTAGCGAAATTTAAGAGAATGAGAAGAGAAGGAGAAGAAAAATTCGTCTCCTCTTCTTCTTCTCCTCTATTCTCTTCACCGTGACCAAAATAAGGCGACGATTTCCTTTAAATAGACCGCTTGATTAAAATAAAATAATAATAAATAAATAAAATATATGACTAATACATGGCAATGAGGAAGTGGTTTCCTGAATAGCAAACAAAGTTTGTGTTGCCGGCCTGAGTGGAGGGTGGGCCCACAAGTGTTTGTCCACTGACAAATATCTGGCCGATGGTGCCTACGGTGGTTCGTGAAATCTGGACCGTCCACGATTGGTGAATTTTGCGCGTGGTTTCTTATATAGGTGTGAAAATAAGAAAAAATATCTCTGGGCATTGCTGACTAGTATTTGTGGGCTGACTAAGTTCAACGTTTTGGATTATTCCAATTGGTGGAAGGTAGAAAATTACGGAACGGAAGGGATGGTGACGACAGCTCTGTTTCTTTAACATCCTCGATTCTTATTCGCCGGTATTAGGGGCGTTAATCACCAACTGTGGGCCCGCGCTAATGGAACTTTTATTTAGTCTGGTGAACGTAGGTAGAGTTACGTTCGGCCGGCACTAAGATTATAGACACAAAACGAGAAATACCGAGCAATACCAATAATAACGAGAAATATCATTATATGAAGACAAAATACCGAGTAATACCGAGCAATACCCAAAAAATACCTAGAAAAAAATTCGGTATTTTTTGGGATTACTCGGTATTGCTTGGTATTACTCGGTATTGATCTTCACAGAGTGGTATCCCTCATTATTATCAAACAATACCTAACAATACCGACCAAATACCGAGCAAAAACTGAGTAACAATCCTCTGACCGAACATAGAGCTACGTACGGTCAGAGGACGTAATAAAAGTTCGCGCTAATGAGAGATTATTACTTGCAGTTTGGATCAATCTGGATCATTCGGAGGTGAATTTGTACGCGTCATGTCACCTTAATGTATCAGGCTTCATGTAACATGACGCATCTTAATTTGCCTCGAACGAATCCGTTTGCCGCTTGTAATAATTTTCCGGCACTAATGACGGCGAAACCATGCAGCTAGTGGGTAGGGTCGACATATGCACATGCGTTCCACACTTGAAAATGAATATGCCAAAATTTTAATTTGGTGAAGAACGTACGATGGCAAATTTAATATTCTGCAGCAACTCAAAATTAAAAATTATTATCACTTTGGGTGAGGGTTCGACGCACTAAAATCATTAAATATAAACTCTCAACTAACATATGAAGAAGATGAGCTGTATTAATATTTTCAGTGCTACACACTTTTATCATCTAGTAATTGAGGCTTGGGTGACGGTATGCATAGGCATATTAGCATATATCAATGACAGGGAAGAAGGAAGCCATTAAAAAAACTCTTTATATAAATAAGAAAAAATTTTGGCTGAACAAGAAGTTATCTTTTATGTTTAATGTTTTTAGATTGATCGTAATTATTTCTTTTATGAACAAAAGATATTGTTATTATCATGCTTATAAGAAGATTCCGCATACATGCATTAATTTAAAAATATTATTTATAAAATTAAATTTAATATTAAAATTTAGTTGCGGACTAGAATATACACGGCGATAGACTTAGAAAGTATTTTTCTTAGCGTTGCACGGATATTCAGCACACAAATAGAAGATAAAATAACACCAGGATTTTTACGTGGAAAACCCTGGAAAGGGAAAAAAATCACAGGGTCACGCCCAGTTGAAATAATTCCACTAGTATTTGTTTGAAGTACAAGAGGCTGATTCGTCCTTAAAATTTAGGACGGTCAATTTACATTCCTGATTGAGATCCAATTACAATGTATAGCAGAGTTCCGGCGTCACTTGGAGATCGAGCTGAATTCTGGCGTCGGGCAGAACTCTTGCGTCGTTCGGAAGTCGGGCAAAATTCTGGCGTTGTTCGGAGATTAGGCAAAATTCTGGCGTTACTTGGAAGCCCGGCAGAATTCCGGCGTCACTCAGGCGTTCGGCAGAATTCTAGCGTCGGGCAGAACTTCAGTGGTGGTGAGGAGTTATTCCCTCCTATCCTTCTCTTCTCTTCTTCTAGCTTGGGTCCCCTCTTATGAGAAATGAGGGGTTTATTTATAGATTTTCTGGAGTGACATAACTTGTAAATAGGTGTGAAATCATGGGTAAATAGGGAGTGGTCGAATTGACGGCCGATATTGAATCCCTTGATTGTGCACCGTTCATCAGACATTTAAAAGTCTTAATTATGTCAGAATTTGGCGATCTTGGGCTTGTTGGATTTGTCTCGTCGAGCCGCTCGATTCGACTATAAGCTTATCAAATTTGGAAACCGTTTGGTAACTCAAATTGTGATACGAACTTTTCAATAGCGCTTCGGGTCCTTGATTTGGACTCATTTGGGCTCGGATTGAGTCGAATTTGGTGTCGTTGGGTTCGTATTTCCGAGACGCACAGTTTGACTGTAAGTTTGCTGAAATCGAATTTCAGGTGATCCCGAATTTAATTTTTGAAATTTCTGGGTTGATTTTGCCTCAAGATTTGTGCCCGATCAAGATAATTTTTTGAGGATATATCAAAACTTTCATGAATAAATTAATTTTTAAAAAAAATAAATGTATTTATAAGAAAATATGAATAATGATTTTTTATAAAAATATGAAGTTTATTTATGATTAGTAAAAAAAATTGCTTTGACCATGCACGAATCTAAACGTATAATTGAAAAATTACAAAATTAAATATAGAACCCTCCAAACTTTAATTTCAGCAAACTTATATAAGAGTTGAATGTCTCGACTAGACCAATGCAACCACATAAAAAGATCAAATTCGAGCACAAATGAGCCCAAATCATGGTCTTAAAGTTTACAAAAATTTAGATACATCGATTAGAAGATCATATGATATTTAAATTTTGCATGTTTATTGTCAAATTGAGCAACTTGATGATATGAATCCAACGTGCTTAAAATCTCTTAATTCTGATACGTTAAGGTGCTTAAATGCTAAATGAAAGCTATATCATCAATGCACTCATTACAACCTATCTGATTGAGTACTCCATAATTACTTTAGATTTTCATCATATTTATTGGGCATTTCATTCCGAAAAATCTATAAATAGTCTCCCTCTTCCTTTGTGAGGGAAAAGACTTGGACTTGGAGAACTTGGAACCTTGGATTAGAAATTCAAGATAACATTGAAAAATCATGGAGCTCCATCTAAGCACCATTGTTAACAAACTTTTGTCGGCTAACTACCACTAAACTTTCATCGTCAAATCGCCACCTGATCTCTGTTAGGTTTTTTCATCAAACTTCTATCAGACCACCATCGATTTCTATCGATGTCGCCACTGACCGCCTGTAAAAGCCCCTCCGAAGCTGATTTTTTTTTTGAGTTAAAGCTGTTTTTTTTAGTGTTGTTAGTCCCGTACGAACTGGCCTTAGTACGGGACGAACTGAAGAAATTGTGAAGAAATCTGTCATTTTCGTCTGTACGAACCTAGAACTGTCGGGACGAACTGTCTGTATGAACTGAAGAAATGGTAAAGAAAATATGCATGTTCGTCTGTACGAACCTGAAAGAGTCGGGACGAACAGTCGGGACGAACCAAACCCGAGGGTTTCGTCCCGTGATGATGAAATTGGCATTTAATTTCGTCTGGACGATCTGTGTATATGGGAGATCGTCCCGGGACGATCCTGTGTATTAAATATCTGAATAGTGCCGATTTTGAAGAGAGAGAAAGCCCAGGAGAGAGAAAAACGAAGGAAAAAGAGGAAAAGTGGATTTTTGGACGACTTTCGTCCGTTTTCGTCTGTCGCCGTAGTTGGGAAAGTTGACCGACTCGAGGTAAGACACTTTCCGCCTTTCTCAATTTTCAGAAACGAGGATTTTGACGACTTTTCTGTTCCGAATTTTATTTCCGTTAGCGAATTTCTGGTATTATTTTCTTTTGACAAAGGTTTTACCGCGTAACTTTTGGTATGTCTCTGAAATGATAATTATGCACGTTTTGAGTATTTTCTGGAAGATTTTTACCGGATATTTTGAATTCTGCGGTGTTTTAATTGAACTGCAAATTATCAGGATGTTGAAAAATGTTTTGTCAGTACAATGAAAGTCTTACAATATTGTTATGAATGTTCTGTGGTAATTTGATAAATTTCTGAATTTGTAAATTTTGTGTAAATTCCGTATACTACCGTTATGCCGCTGAAATCTCGTATGAATTCCGATTTTTCTGAATTGATTCCTTGAATGAATTGAAGTGTTTGTGTGCTATCAAAAGGGAGTTATAAGGGGCTAGGATCCTTTGAGATTCTGTAAGTGTCAGGAAAATTTGATATGAGCTCTGAAATCTTAAAATAAGTCCTGTTTCGGAATTCCGTGAACTTCTGTTATGTTCTGGTGTTATAAGCACAAAGGGAGATATAAGGGGCCAGAATCTGTTGTGATTCTGTAAGTGTCAGGGAAGGGAGACATAAGGGGCCAGAATCCATCGAGATTCTGTAAGTGTCAAGGAAGGGAGATATAAGGGGTCAGAATCCGTAGAGATTCTGTAAGGGTCTGGGAATCTGAAATCTGTTATGTGACTTATCTGATCTATTTTATAAATTATATGATATACGATTTCTGATTTCTGTACGATTCTGTTTGAATCTGATATGAACTATCTGATATGAATTATCTGATATGAATGTGATTTTATCTGAATTCTGATTTCGATACAATTATGGTTATTCCGTACGATTCTGTCTGCTCTGTGACTTGAAAGCTTTATGATATATGTTCTGAACTCTGATTCGATATGACTTTAGTTTTCTGTATCAGTTGTTTGATTTATGATTGATCAAGTATCTGTTCTATGATTTTCATATGGCTATTTCTGATGTGAATTTCTGATGATTTGGATTGGCGAGTGATGTCTTGCTGAGCTGTTAGCTCATCCTTGTTTTCTACGTGGTTTTCAGGTTCTGGGAAAGGGAATGAGGTATTGGATTAGCAGTTCAGAGTCTGATCTGAGATTAGGTATTTTGTACTTTTGATTTTTGTACAGT